CAGCCCTTCTGCCAGCCTCCAGCCTGCACTCGACCTGTCTGCAAGGTCTCCTCACTCCAATTTAGCCTAGATGTAACCATATTATAGATATGTAGTTCCATATTAGATGAAGACCCCGCCAATTACAATTTTCGACAGTTAAAACTAAATCACATGGATCTTGAACCGTGTATGGACCAAGCTAGGAAATGGTGGAAGATTTCTTTCCATGGACATTAGTAAAGCAGATGGGTTTTAAAAATCTGTGGATATTGGAGATCTATACAAAAATATAAATTGCTGGAAAAACTCAACAGGTCTGATAGCATCTGTGGGGAGAAAGCAGAGTTGACGTTGAGTCCAGTCACTGGACTTGAAATGTTAAATCTGCTTCTTCTCCACAGATGCTGCCAGACCTACTGAGTTTCTCCAGCAATTTCTGCTTTGGTTTTTAAAACAATCTGGTAGTTTCATAGTCACTATTACTAATTGTATCTTTTTATTCCAGATTTAATTAGTAAGCTGAATTTAAGTTCTCCAGCTGCCAGGACAGGATTTGAAATCCTATCTCTAGGTCATTAGTGAAGGCCTCTGGATTACTTGTCCAGTAATAATAACAACTGTGTTTGTTGGGCAGAGAAAGTCAACAAAATTTAAAACACGATTCCAGAGTGAAGAGCTTTGAAGAATTTCTTGAAATAATAGACCTGTTTGACCCAAGAACAGATATTACAGAAAAAAACATGTTTTTAAACAAGATAGTCAATAAATAAAATCAACCAGAAATAATTATTTCATTTGTGACAAGGGAATTGGGCAAGATGTTACAGATTCAGAGCTGCGTTGACAAATTTATGACAATATCAAAACATAATGTTTTACACAGAGGGTGATCAACAGCCACAATGGGTTGCTAGGTGGGTTGGAACACCCAGTTTCTTTTGAGAAAACTATAAATGCTGCAATATGTAGAAGGTATGTTTAAAAGTCTGAAACAGTGTGATCAAAGGCCCTGAAGGCCTGTAGCCTTCAAATACAACCTAATGTATTTAGACTGCCACCTAGTGCTCTTCTCATTTATAAATGGGAGCATGAACGTAAGGATATTTTCCCTTGTGTACCATTGTGCAAAATATTTTGCTTGGGCATATGCATTATACATTAATAATATCTGATGAAGAAAATTTACTATAGGTCCGTGGATGGATAATTTGCTTATAAGTTAAGGATACTTTAATAAATAAATTATTGTTTATATTTACACAGTGTGCATCAGCCAAATAATTCTTTAAATCTAGCTGGAAATGTTTATTCAGATTTTACATATTGGCTGGCTGGCTTTCACCTAAATATGTTCCACTTCATAGACTGATGAAAATAACTAAGCTTGAATATCATCTGACATCAAAAAGTACAATGTATTAAAAAGGAATAGAACTAGAATATTAAATTCACATTTTTTAAACTATTGTATTCTGAACAATATAAGACATGAAGGTCACTCTGATATTTCAGTGAAAACCATTCAAGGAATTTCTGCATTGTATTTCTTTTACTAAAAAGATCTCTCAAACATTAAGAGTTTATGAACGTACAGCCCCTCAAACCAATTCCACAATTCCATTAGGTTATAACTGATCTGCATATCAACTCCATCCACCCTGTTTTGGTCCACATGCTTGCTCATATCATCGAAAAAAATTCTTTCAACCTTAATCATGAATATGTGACTCATCAAATGTGCTTTGTTCTGCGTAGTTGTTTCTTCACTACTTTTGGAGGTAGTTTGTGAAGTTACCAAAAGGGCTTATCTTAATTCTTGCAGACTCCAGGATAAAGCAAAGGAGAAAGTATCCATATAACAATCATAACATTATCTGAGAACACTGTCTGTTACCCCAGAAGATATGTACTCAAGCTTGTAATGCTTTGTATCAATTTTGTAATTTTTTTGCATTCATCAGAATAAATGGCGGCATTCTTTTCATTAATTTTCTCTACAAATTATCATCTCTCTTTCCTCACAGGTGTTTACTTTTCCTGGAGTATGGCTCCATGGACTTTCATCTCCCCCTAGTATTCAGATGGTTACTATTCATACATGCTCTTTGGCTTTGTCTAATGGCAAGTTAACTTCAAGGGTACTGGAAATGAAACACAGAATGGTTGGGAAACACAGTGCTCCAAAAAGTGTGCTAGAGTCAGGAATTTTATGCAGGTGGGAATTTGGTGCAGAAGAGGAAGTAGGTGCCGTTCTTTATCCTCTCATCTATACTTCCAGTAGCTGATGTGTTTTTCTTTGATCTTTGAACTAAAAGACTATAACTTGGTACTACTTCCAAGTTAATCTAATAACTAATTAAATAATCAAATAAATGGGGACTGCGCCAGAGACAATTCTGTCCGCTGTACACTGAAGTCTAGTTCTGCGTTGACATAAGGCAGGAAAAGCAAGGGGCTCCATTACTTCGCCTGAGGAACTCCCCTACAAATCTTCCTCAAGCCCAAAAAATATCCAGTAACTCTCAGTTTTCTATCACTCAGCCAATTTTGTACCCATGTTGCTACAATCCTTTCATTCCACGTGTGTGACAGTGACAACTGACAGATTATTTAATAGAATGGGGCATTTGAGGGCACAGACATTTCCTTTCTTGTCCTGGACCCAAACATCTAAAACTGGATCTGTTCAAACTACGTTTGGCAATCTTGCATCAAATAGAGGGCTGCTTCAAATAAATGACAGGTTTGGCAGTGTGGACTTGTACTGAGTAGGTTAAGAACAAAATAAGCTGGAAAAATTCAGATTGGACAGCATCTGCGGAGACAAACAGAGTTAATGTTTGAAATTTTAATGAAAACATGTCAACCTGAACGTTAACTCTTTCTCTCCAAAGGTGATATTAAATTTCTGAGATTTTACACCTTTTTTTTTATTTTCGATTTCCAAGATCAGCAATTTGGTTGAAATTAATCAAAATCTTTACGTATAAAATCCATACAAACAGCAGGAACGTTTGGTGCCATGAGTCCAGACTGTATTTAAAAACCAATGTGAAAGGGTCTCTGCAAGAAGCAATTCACAGCTTGGAAGGCAAGATAAGCTTTAGGTGTGCAGGTCATGAGATAGAAGAGATAACAGAAGGACAAAAGAGCTTTTTTAAAAAAATCTCTATGTGAAGTCAAAGGAAAAGGAAAAATTGCAACACTTAGGAATTGAAGCTAATATTTGTATAAATATACATCAGCTATAGAAACAAAATTAGGGATGCTTAAAATAGAAATACACAATTAAGCAACTGCAACTGGGCCAGGAATGAATATTTGACCATAAGGCGTAGGAGCAGAAGTAGGCCATTCAGCTCATTTGTGTCTGCTCTTGTCATACAAAGAGATCATAGTTGATAATCCTCAACTCTACTTTCCTGCCTTTTCTCCATAATCCTTAATGCTTCTACTGATTAAAAATATTTCTAACTCAGCCTTGAATAACAACACAGCCTCTACAATCCTCTCCAGTGAAGAATTCCACATATTCATTACCCTCAGAGAAGAAATTCCTTCTCACCTCTGTCTTAAAAAGGCAACCTGACTCTATGACTCTATAACCTCTTATTCTGAGATTATGCCCTCTGGTCTTAGACTCTCCCACAAGGGAAGCAATCTTTCCACATCTAACCTGTCAAGTATGTTGCATGCTTAAATCTAAATAAATATACTTGAATGTAAAATCTTTGGTAGGGATAGAGAAGAAATAAAGAAAACACAAATAGCAGCATTAAATAAAAAAGCATTACAACAAGGAAGCATGAGGTTATATACAGAAAACTGGGCTCAAGAATTTCCTACTTGGAAAATAATACTAAGCATCAAAGGGTAATTGAGGATGAGATTTGCAGAGAAACTACGTTAACAATCGTTATAATTGCAGGTACTATCCAAACATCAGTTTGAATAAAGAACATGATTGTGCTGTTTTTGTTTGCAATAAATTAATGATTGCTTTCTTGGTTGAAAAGCTTTTGCAGCTGTAGATTGTGACAGAGGAAACCATATTTGACCTGTACTGAGTAATAGCCTAGAGAAAATAGAAAATCTAAAATTCTAAAATAGGACATTTCTGTAGAAGTGGATGCCATATAAATAGATCCAAATAAGAACAGGCAAGGGAAAATGAAGTACAGGCAAAAAATAGCAAGACCTGCAGATGCTGGAGTCAGAGTCAATACAATGTGGAGCTGGAGGAACACAGCAGGTCAGGCAGCAGAGGAGCAGGAAAGTCGATGTTTCGGGTCGGTCCTGATGAAGGGACCTGACCAAAACGTCTACTTTCTTGCTCCTCTGATACTGCCTGATCTGTTGTGTTCCTCCAGCTCCACACTG